ATTTCTTGACGATCCCTGCCAAGTGTTTGAATTTTATTTGAAAAATACCGAGCACGCAAAATAAGCATTTGAAAATCACGATGCACGTAAAATTAAATAAGCAGAACACGTTGAACGAGGCACCTGTCATGCACGACTGAACGTCAAATAAAAAAGTAAAAACACGTTGAACGTGAAATAAAAAACGGCGATCACGTTGCACGAAAATAACCCTTTACCACCCTCATTTAATGTACAAAATGTATACCCCAAATTCATCTTTCTGATGTGATTTTGAACTTTTGACTTAAATACCAGCATGAAGTTTGTACTTTATTATGTCCTTTTATTACAATCAATGTAAAATGACTGTAGGAAGATTTCTTTATTCTTAAATCTTATGGCTAATTTTAACATAAGTTAAGTTTAAACACAATTATTTCATTAACATGATTTACAACTCTTATTCTGATACAGTCATGATAATTGTCTATTGCGAGAACCTCTAAAAATATATTAACGGAAATCCGGCATTATATAATGGTATTTAAACATTTGCACCATAATTTGTCTTATTCTGGTTACAGCAATTCTGTTTATAATCTTAAAACATGTAAATTCCTGAACCATGCCCCAAGGATACACTTAACCGCAATTTTATGCAATTATTATGTATTTTGGTTGTAAATTACCTCAACATGCCTACACCAATGTTAATATCAATCAATGCCAATGTTTATCATGTTGATTTTCTTTTTATCCTTGTCTTATTTGATTCATTTTCAATTTGACGACCATTAAATAATATATAAAACATCAAATTAATAAAATGCTCCGCAGGGCGCAGCTTGATACGACCGCAGAGGTCGAACCCTGAACAGTTGGGGGAAGTATGGACACAACATTCAAGCTTGATACAGCTTTGGATTTGGATTGTGATTAAATATTTGACACAGCATAGGTTTCTAACACAGATTGAATGTGGTCTAAGAACTTAAAAATTTTAAATTGGACATTCACCTATTATGATCCAATATCCAAAATCTAAATACATGGTTAGATTCAGCATATCAAAGAACCCCAAGAATTCAATTTTTGATGAAATCAAACAAAGTTTAATTTTGGACCCTTTTGACCTCAATGTGGACAAAGTTGATAACGGGGCCCAAAAATCAAAAATCTAAATACATGGTTAGATTCAGCATATCAAAGAACCCCATATATTCAATTTTTGTTGAAATCAAACAAAGTTTAATTTTGGACCCCGATTTGGACCAACTTGAAAACTGGGCCCATAATCAAAAATCTAAATACATGTTTAGATTCAGCATATCAAAGAACCCTAAGAATTCAATTTTTGTTAAAATCAAACTAAGTTTAATTTTGGACCCTTTGGAACTTAATGTAGACCAATTTGAAAACGGAACCAAAAATTAAGAATCTAAATACACGGTTAGATTCGGCATATCAAAGAACCCCAATAATTCAATTTTTGATGAAATCAAACAAAGTTTAATTTTGGACCCTTTTGACCTCAATGTGGACAAAGTTGATAACGGGGCCCAAAAATCAAAAATCTAAATACATGGTTAGATTCAGCATATCAAAGAACCCCATATATTCAATTTTTGTTGAAATCAAACAAAGTTTAATTTTGGACCCCGATTTGGACCAACTTGAAAACTGGGCCCATAATCTAAAATCTAAATACATGTTTAGATTCAGCATATCAAAGAACCCTAAGAATTCAATTTTTGTTAAAATCAAACTAAGTTTAATTTTGGACCCTTTGGACCTTAATGTAGACCAATTTGAAAACGGAACCAAAATTTAAGAATCTAAATACACAGTTAGATTCGGCATATCAAAGAACCCCAATAATTCAATTTTTGATGAAATCAAACAAAGTTTAATTTTGGACCCTTTGGACCTCAATGTGGACCAATTTAAAAACGGGGCCCAAAATCCAAAACTAAATACACGGTTAGATTCAGCATATTAAAGAACCCCATGAAATCAAGAATAAAACCCCATTGAAATTGGTCAAGAAATAAGCAATTTATAGGAAGTATCTTCTTTTGCACAATCCTGTGCTATTAAATATTTCTTGCTATTGCGCAATACTGTACAATTGACAATTTCTTGCTATTGCGCAATATTGTGCTATTGGATATTTCTTGCTATTGTGCAATACTGTGCAATTGAAGATTTCTTGCTATTGCGCAATACTGTGCAATTGAAGATTTCTTGCTATTGTGCAATACTGTGCAATTGAAAATTTCTTGCTATTGCACAATACTTATTATATAATAATTTACACATCCTGTTTGGTGTGTATCTCCTACCATATCATTATTATTTGATTTTAAATATAAATCAGAAATAACCAACTTAAAATGGAAAATTTTAAAAGAAACAAAAAAGGAAAAAAAGAAAAAAAATGAAAAAAAAATAAATCCCCCCCCCAAAATTTTTTGAACCCCCATTATGATTCATCACCCCCAAACTCAATCCCAGCCTTCCCTTTGTGGTATGGTACCTTGCAGTACAATTTCAGAGAGATCCATACACTTGAACACAAGTTATTGTCTGGAAACTAGAAAAAAATGTGTTTTTTGGCCCCTTTTTGGCCCCAAATTCCTAAAAGTTTAGGGCAATTACCCCCAAACTCAAAACCCAGCTTTCCCTTTGTGATATGGAACCTTGTAGTACAATTTCAGAAAGATCCATACACTTACACACAAGTTATTGTCATGAAACTAGAAAAATTCTTGTTTTTTGCCCCTTTTTTGGCCCCTAATTCCTAAAATTTGGAGGCAATTACCCCCAAAATCAATCCCAGCATTCCTTTAGTGATATGGAACCTTGTGGTACAATGTCAGAGAGATCCATACACTAACACACAAGTTATGTCTGGAAGTTACAAAAATGCTTATTTTTGGCCCCTTTTTGGCCCCTAATTCCTTTACTGTTATTACCATAACCCCCAAAATCAATCCCAACCTTCCTTTTGTGGTATTGAACCTTGTGGTAAAATTTCATAAAGATCCATTTACTTAAACTAAAGTTAGAGTGCGAAAACCAATGTGTCTTCGGACGACGCCGGACGACGACGACGACGACGACGCCGGACGACGCCAACGTCATACCAATATACGACCACAAAAATTTTTTTGCGGCCGTATAAAAACGTTTAAATAATTGAAAATTTACAAGGCTGTTTCCAGTACTTTACACACATGTACATGAATTTTTACAAAGAAAAATAAGATGTGGAAACAAGTAAAATAATAATCTTAAATTATATTACAGGAACTGTAAAGAGTTATATTATTTTGAAATTTGAGCCTTTTTCGTTAAAAGGAAAATGTGACAACCTTTGAAAACACAGTAGATATAGTGATTTAACTGTATTTCTAGGACACTAAAATAGTACTTGGTGCAATATAATTATATCATTTTGAAACTTTAGCTTATTTCGTTAAAGAAAAAAAGACAGTCTCTGAAAAAACAATTGTGATTTAAATCTATTTCAAAAACACTAACATTAGACATGCCAATTTGTAATAAATTCCAATGTTTCTATTTTTAACCAAATGCAACATAGCAAAACAGTTTTACCAATATCCTAGCTAGGTAGTTCTTAATATAGCAATAAAGTCAAGTTATTCATTCAATGCAGCAAAAAATCAATAGTTACTTTACAATAGGTCCATAAGACCTTTTACTATTTTTGGTTCTTAATTAAGTCAAGGTTATTCATTCAATATACAGCAAAAACAATATTTACTAGTCTGAACAAAAATTTCACCAGACATTAAATTTTATTATTCCTAATATTAGCTATATAGTACTACAAATTTTATTTGCAATGTTTTAAGTCATTTTTTTCCATGTTACATTGACTATAATTTTACTGAATTGACAAGGGGTTAAGCTGGTTTTCTTTTGCATGATTTGATGGCAGACGATCATATACTACATGTACCTTAAGCAGGTCAGGTCCATCTGCCATTTATTTGTCTACTGACTCGATCCTATTGAGACTAAATTTGTCAGAGAACTTTTAACTTCATTTTATAACCATCTAAATTCTGTATAGATGTACCAAATGTGTACACTAAAGCCGTTATCATGGTTATATTCAATGTAGATTCATTTATTATTGTTGGTAGAAGTTTTTCGTGGATTAAGAAAAAATTGTATTTGCATGGATATTTGATTTCATGGTTTTGCCATCGTCAACAAAAAAGCCTATACAAAATGTGCTCTTCTTTGAACATTTGTAGCTCACCTTGACCCACATAAATTAGTATATCACGAATAACAATAATGAAATTCACAGTATTATGATATTCTATTGTCAATGACTGTTGCACCCCACATTTGTCTACTGCTTTGAAGCTATCAGGCAAAAAAATAAATATGTTCATGTATTAGCTGTCGCATGATGTAAGAAAAACGTGATAAGTGTTTTTTTTTTCAAGCTTGAGTGTATCATGTCTAGAGGGGAGACAATGTAATTTTAAGTGCTTGATGCTAAATGGTAAAAAAATTAGGGTAGGGGGTCAAACATAGAAAAGTTTGGTCAACAGCAGAACAATCGGACTTCTTTTGAACTGAATTTTACTGTGCGTATTGCTGTGTGTTTGTTTATTTCACATAGGCTAGAAGTATAGGGGAGGGTTGAGATCTCCCAAAACATGTTCAACCCCACCGCATTTTTCCACACGTCCCAAGTCAGGAACCTCTGACCTTTGTTAGAGTTGTGTTTTTTTAATTTGGGTTCATTTATGTGTTTCGGAGTTTAGTGTGACGTCAATTATCGCTGAACTAGCATAGATTATTGTTTAGGGGCCAGGTGAAGCCCTCCACATGGTGTGTGATTTTCTCGCTGTGATGAAGACCCATTGGTGGCCTTGGGCTGTTTGATGCATTCCCTGTTTCCATTTTCAATTTTAAACATACTAATTACTTTTTATTTTGGCCTCTCCTTGAATTTTTGTGCTATAACAACTTACCTTGAGGGCGCTACACCAACTAAGTTTGGACCAAGTCCCTTGAATAACCCGTTTACACCTTCTGTTTGGACTATGTGTCTGCAAAAAAAGAAATAAAATACAATATACATATAATTTCTATTAAATGGGGGAAACTGGTCATGAATACATGTACTTTTGTCATCTCATTAATTTTTCAATGACTACCTTGTACATGTTGTAAGAGATTAGATACAAACATCATAAAAAAACAATATTGTCTAGATCTGCTCTGACATAGAAATTTCAAGGACAACTTGCAAAAGATAAAATATAAACATCACAAGAATGTGTCCATAGTACGTATGTTACACGGATGCCACACTCGCACTATCATTTTCTAGGTTCAGTGGACCATGAAATTGGGATCAACTCTAATTTGGCATTAAAATTAGAAAGATCATATCATAGGGAACATGTGTACTAAGTTTCAAGTTGATTGGACTTCAACTTCATCAAAAACTACCTTGACCCAAAATTTTAACCTAAAGTGGGACAGACGGATGAACGGTCGGACACACAAACCCTAGGTGGGGCATAATAAAAATACAGCTGTTAATTGAATTATCACAAGAAAACCGTGATGTACTAATTGGAATACCACCATCACATCCGCTCATAGAAATTTCAAGGACAACTTTTAAGTGATAAGATTCCAAGCAAATGACAGCAAAACTGCTAATTGGAATATTACAGAAAATTGATGAATTTGCTGTCCTTGCATTGTTGTTTACATACAGGTTTTTTCAATCATACAAAGATTGTGAATCACCCGATAACAAAAGTACAAGCAGTCATTACCAATAGATCAATGATCCTATAAGTTAAATAGGGTAATGTCCTAGGTAACAATCTATGTTAAAAGTAGCAGACTTACAAAAAATGTACATTGTACTGTCTATTCATTTATTTTTCATGGGTACCAATTTTTCTTGCCAGGATTGAGGAAAACTTGCATTTTCGTGGATATTTGATTTCGTGGTTTTAGAAAATTTGTAATTCGTTGAACATTTAAGTTTGTGGTTCACCCCTATACCCATCAAATCCTCGAAAATTGGTAACCCACGAAAAAATAATGAATCTACAGTATTACATTATGCAACATTCACTTTTTTCAAAAAGCTAATTTAAATGCTTAAAATGGGAGTGAGACAGTTTGAAATTACAACTCCTTCTGGTAAAAAAGTATAAAGAAAAGGTACATGTATCAACAAGCAAAACAACAACACCCCCCCCCCCCCCCCCCCCCCTAAAAAATGGCCACATAAGCTATAGAGACAATATTTCAAATTATCTTGAAAGTAAAAGCTAGGTTTAAAGGAAACAGAAGCTGTTTCTTTTTCTTTTTCAGTTTGATTAATGTGTTTAAAAAGTAAAAGATAGAATTTGATTGGAAAATACCAGGGCAACACATTAATCTTTTGTGAATGTTCTCCAGCTTGATCAATCACATCCTGTGTGCATTCCAGGTAACAATAATTTGCTATTTTTATTCCAATGCAATAAATTCTAAAATAACTTTTAGATCACATTTAAGATATATGCTATATAGCTAGGATTAGTTATGCAAGATATGCAAAGTAATAAACGTTGAATCTTCTATAACATCCTTTTCATACATTTTACATTCAATATCCTGTTATTTTAATTTTTGCTAACTTAAGTTTTAACCATGTGACAACACCTATGTCATGCACAGGCTGCATGGTGATCAACCAATGAAATAAACCTCTGTCACTGCACAGATGTAGCATCATTGGCTGATACAGGAGTGATGTTCCCCAGAGATTGGAACCACCCTTTTTTTCCCAATGTTTGTTTTTGTTTTCTTTTTTAATTACATGAATTATGTGAACATTTCACAGTGTTCAGGGGGCTGCACCCCCTTTTCAAAATGGCTGGATCCGCACCTTTAGCATTGTCAATATACCTGATCATGATATACATGTACAACACACATTTCCCCTTCAACTTTGGCCAAGTCCATCTTTTTTAAATCATTGGACTAAAAATTAAATGAAGTGTTCTTTCCATGCCAGGGCCTTTTAGTATTATGGTCACATGATGATAGTGGGATGCTATATGGTGGTCTAGAAGGTGGCCTTAATTTCTGTATTCATAAAATATTTAGGGAATTTTTCTTTAACTTTAAAAATAAAGCTTATTTTGCATGTTTTGTAATATGATAATGATTTTAGTATTTCCTATTAAAATTTTCTAAAATTAGATGATTTTTTCATTCTGTACCTACATGTAGGTACTTTTTTTTAACTGTTTTGTACTTGCGTGCCCATTATTCTCTATTTTTTATTTTTTGCTCATTTTTCTCTATTCATTTTTTTTTTGCCATTATTCTCTATTCTGTAAAGCCCATTCAGACCCTCCTATATTACTTGATTGTGATGCTATGATTTCTAGAAAAAAGAAAGTATTTCAAAATTCACTGTTTACCAGTGCTTAATGAATTCTGAAGGGATAATGATGCCTATATTTTTCTAATCATAGGAACTTGCATTTAATTTGAAGACACTCTTTTTGTGAATTATTGAACAACAAATTTAACTTGTACTATTTCAATGTATTTACTCTTATATAAACATGTTATACTTACTTTAAACATTTCAAAAGACTAACATGTGTTTTTGTATGTCGATAACCATTCTGTAACAACTGTGTGTCTGCCGAAACAGTCCCAGCAGTCGTGTATAGTTGTACATTAGGGACGTATGTGGTAGTGTGTGACTGTATGTAGGCAGGGTGGAACTGTGCCACTGACGACTGGAGACGTGTTTTCACAACTTCCAATGGACAGGTTGCTATGGCACCTACAGTACCACCAACACTGAAATATAAAAACAAAAATTAATAAAGTGTATAACAAAAATGGTATTTTTTTTCAAGTTTGAAGTCAACTAAATATAGATTTTAGATTCCACAATGGTAATTTATCAGAAAATGTTTGTTTTGCATCACAAAATTTAGTTACTTTACAAATTAGTAACATTTATCTGTGCATGCTGTCATGGCTGTGTAACAAATAACCTCAGAAATGTTCCTTTGTTGTAGATACAATCCTGCTACCCGCTGAAACTTTACTTGTAATATATATTCAACATGACATGTATAGGTGCCCTTAACATGCTCAATGAAGCAGGAACTGCTGAACTCCAGAGCAAGGGGTTTACCCCATTAAATTTCTCTGTAATCATGGTAAAAAAATGTAATTTGTTTTTTTGTGTAAATCTTTGGGGCGTTTTGTTTAATTTTTCTGAGTTTCAGGATTTGTAAAATATGGTGAACTTTAGTTTATTTTTCATCATTTGTAAACTTTAGTGGCCTTGTGTCTGTTTTTCAGTACTTTTTCATAAAACTTTTTTTTAATATATTTATTTCAACAAATACAATTACATACATGTAGCATTCTCTGCTCAGACTAATCAGAGGTAAGATAATAAATTTTCACAATGCTATTTTAAAATCAGTTGCAACACCCTTATTTTTTTTTAAATATCATTGGTAAACAATTGATATAAGTTTATGGTTAACTAGGTGAACCATTTCAATGACCTTATGTAAATATCTGTCAACCACATATATTTCAATGAACTTAAAAGTTTTAAACAGATAAATATTTTGATTTTTGTTTGAATGCTACCTTAACAGATAAGACCAACCCAAGACTGACAAAGAGTATATAAAAACAAATGTTTTAAAATCTCAGTCAATGTCAATGATTGACTAATATATATATATATATATATATATGATAGCACATGACACGTGACAATAATCCCAACATTTGATTAAATCCAAGTTATTTCATTAATCATGTTAACCGTTAAAGAAATCAATCGTGCTAGTAATGTGCCCTTCCTCTTAAAATGTGCCCCTCTGCTCTTAAATCCTACATTTGTGCAATGTTGCTAGAACACTAGAATTATTAATTATGCACAGCTCTGTATTCACATGTATAGATAACATGTAATCAGAAGAATCAGTGTTCTCCCCAGAAATTTTGGATAGCATCACATTTGGCGTAAAAAAATAAACTGTATATTTTTCAATGTCATTTGACGCGTCGCGGCGATGCTCTATTTCCTTTATGTTATATATGTTTATATTGTTCAATTCATAACTGAGAATACAATTAAACTATAGCCATGATAACAGTTGTTTCAGTTTATGTTTTCTATATTCATTTATAGTTACAAAATTATTTTTTTCCTCTTGGGCCAAATAAAAATATATATATGGTTCCAGTTACCCTACCTACTCAACTAAATGAATGAAGAATGAATGAATGAATGAATGGTTTATTATAGTGCAACCTGTATATACAATACTAAATACCTAGCAAAAAAAAGAACTGGTTTTTATATAAAAAGGGAAGAGAAAGTATCATATAGCAATAAAACTTCAATTAAAAACTTTTTTCTTTATCATGTCTATGAAATTCATTGTTTCATGGTACTCAATGAATTAGTCCCAGTTGTTTCTTTATATCAAAATGATATATATTTTTAACAAAGTTAAGCTACTTTAGTCAGTATATTAAAACAATGCATTTTCAAAAAGATTACATTTAGCAAAGATATCTAATAAATAGTCTGTTAATGCGTTTGGAAAGCGTAGTTTATTCTTTTGTAATCATTTTTTCTGTCTACTGTGCCATGTGTGCATCTGTAGTTATTATCGGAAAAATACGGAATTTTGTCATATCTGGTCCGGTTCCGATCCGTAGTTTACACATATATTTCAATGGCGGCGGAAGAAAAATTTACGAAAATAAACAATGTTTGACAAGAGATTGGGAATGCGTATGACGCTTTTAATGCATTAAATGGATGACATGAAACAATAACTAAAGCCAATTATGATCTCTTTCTAAAGTAGTATCAAACTTTTTTAACTCAAAATCAAAATGTTTAATATACGGGCCCAAGACCACAATTAATGACCCTACTTTTCGTTGTCCACGAATATAGTTCCCTTTAATTAAAGTGTATTTTTTCTTTATTTTTTTTCTTTGCCTTTCTCATTCATTTCTTAGTTTTTATGGGGTGGAAATGAAAGAAGAGAGGTGAAATAAATTTTTGGATGTTGTATTTTAACTGATTTTGATATGGAAAGAGTGATTAGGCTAAGTGCAAAAAGGTAATATTTACAGTTTTCGGAACATCTCTTGACTTGTCCATAGGGGTATGGATGTGTATTGGCTAAATTTGTAAGATCTTGGGGAGCGATTTTTCTGAATTTTGGATATGTTTTTGGACTAGTACTATACATTACACACACAAAAGATTAGACAAAAAGAACCGGGGCAATTTTTTTAATGAGACAAAAAGTTATAAAGAACTAATAGAGGAATTAATTGTGGTCTGTGGCCTAAGAGGCTGATACCCAAAATCTTGAAAATAAAGAAAGGACCAACTTTATTGGCAGAAAGTCACTTCAAATGATAAATAGTAATGGTTTATTGTAATTTTATTCAATATAAATCTTTAAACCTGTTATAATATGCAATTTTAGGCATTTTGGGCCATTTTTGGCCATTTTGATGTACTGAAAGCCCTTTGACCCCAGTTTCAGTCCTTTCTGTCAATAATGTTGGACCCTTTTTATATTTTAGAATATATTACTACTCTATTGTCTTACAAACCATCACATCTTCAAAATGGATGCCTTTTATCACAAATATAATCAAAAATTAATAGATAGCTCTGCACCTGGCTATAATGGGCAGTGTCACATTTGGACAGGTTTATGTACACCTAATGGCAAATATGGAGTTATTAATTGTAAATTTCCAGATGCCAGAGGGTGGAGACAAATGCATGTGCACAGACTTGCCTACATGGTGCATCATCAGAATATTTTAATTGATAAAACTGATGATGTTTCGCACCTGTGCCACAATTCGAAATGCATTACTGTCGAACATCTGTCGTTGGAACCTCATGGTTTCAACAACAGCCGACAGTCATGCGTTTCAACCGGTTCCTGCTTGGGCCACCCAGATCCCCTCCCTCCCTGCAGGGTGGAGTTGAAAATGGATAACAATAATTTGGGTAAAATAATTATCGGGTACTTTTTTATTTTTATTTTACTTATATTTTTTTTCTGGGGCAGGCTAAAATATATTTTTATCAGAATGAATGGGAGAAAAAAAGAAAAGAAATTTGAAAGCTAATGTACAACAACTTCAGATTCTTTTTTTAATATTTGTGTGGTCCTGAAAAGGACCTTTTATGATTTGGTTTGCTGGTTGATCTGTCATCTCAGTCAGTAGCTGGTCTTGGAAGCTTTGGTTTGCAGTAGCTGTCATGGTCCTGGAACTGTAAGGCAGGCTGTGGATCTAGTTGACCTTTGCAGTAATAGTCATGCTTTTTGTTCATTTCTCTCCATGTCTTGTGCTCTGCAAGCTTTTCTGCATTCTGCTTTAATCTCCTTGCTTGAACTGTTGGTCTTAGTATGTAATCTTGGTTGTATTGAAAGTCAGTGTCCATTTTCTTCAGGTGAAGTTTACTTCGTTCTGAAAGGTCTACTCCTAGATTCGTACATTTAAGTTGTGTCGAGGTTCCCGGCATGTTGTTATTTCTATGTACTCCTGAAGCAAGTCGTCCTTCCATATTTTTGGAGTATATTACATTTTTGGGCAAATTAACACTCAGTGCTCTATGAACTCCTTCATTTTTGTTGGTATTGTCATAAAGTTTCATACTTTCAATAGCTGCTGTAGTTAATTTCATTTTCAGGATTTCTTGAAGTAAAAATTTGTCTGTTTTATCCATTTGCAGGGCAGTGATCTGGTATGTGGACAAGTAAGACGAACGACTCCACCAGTTAATTGCAGCATCACCTTTGCAGACAATGGAATATTCATGACACTGGGTGCAGTCACCATCATAGCAGCGAAGAGTTGCATCGAGCACTTTTGGTAAGTCTTTGCTTATTTCATTAATGTTTTTGTCATATTTCTCCATCAGTTTCTTTACTATCATGGAACATCTGCACTTTATATCTTTGCTAAACACCGTCCTCAGTTGTTTATTTTCCTCTTTTGTTTTTCCATGGAACATTCCTGGACTGTATTGAGCTCGCAAAGAGGCCCTGAATTGAGACTGTCCCAAATGTACATGATCTGCCAGTCTTTCTACTTTCCACATTGGTTCGAGCGCTGTAAGGGCTTCTTCAATACCTTTAGCTGAACGTCCATCTCCATCTGTGGTCACATACCGTACCAGACATTTTTGAAGTCCTAGCTGGTTTCCAATCTCTTTTCCCAGCTCGTACTCTGACAGGGCAGCAGCTCTGTATAAATTTGCTGTACATTCTTCATGGCCAGGACATTCTATTGGAAAGCCTTTCCCTCTAAGCCAAGCCCCTTTCCAACACATCTTATTCTGTACAACAGCAGCTACAATAAACTTTCTATCGGTCATTGTTTCTATTCCCAGTGCAAAAACTTGAGTCGCATTCTGACCAGGCTTCTTTTTACTAACTATTGTGTTGCTGTTGTATCGAGCATCCACAGTTATGTTAATTTCATTTTCTGGGACACCTCGCCTCCTGTTCACTTCTTTTACTAGTTCCAGTTTCTGTGCCATGTCTGTTTTGTTCAGCTTGACCATTTCAGCTGATACTCTGCTGGATGTGCGTTGCATACTGCTTCTACATGGTGGTGGTGTGTCCATTCCTGCAAGTAGTTGCTGTACTGTTGTATTTCCAATTGGGCAGTCCTGCAAAGCAGATGCAAGGGCTACATTTGGTTGTCCTGGGTTGGGTCCTGGTTTGCCATTAGCTATTTCTTTGTACATCTTTATTTTGTCTCCAATAAAACCACAGGTTATGCATTTCAGGGTATACTGCCAGCAAGTTCCCCACTTTTTCTGTTCATGATAGTCAACATTAAACTTAGGACAGGATGGTGAGTCCACTTGGTGTTTATTATAAGTAGTGTTGTACAAGCTGATTGTCAGTTGACTGTCTATCCACCTCATACCAGAATGTAATGCTTTATTTTCTTCTCTTTCCAGGTCATCATTAGCTTGTGGTCGAAGAGTACAGATGTGACCAGTCGCCTCTTTGCAGTCAGGAGATTGTAAAGTTTGCCGCACATAGGAAGTACTTGCACTAGCTGAATCAGGCATTTGTATTGACGTCAGGCCTCCACTTATAACATTTGTGCCAGCTTGGAACCAACTAGGATTTCTTGGTGAGTTAGAGTTGTCTTTCTTTGACCTTTTCTTGCCTTTGGAATATGGGGTACTACCCTTAGTGAACATTTTGAAAAGTTAAACTGTATCAGTAATATCGCAACTTGGACTAATGGAATAAACTTTGGACATCCTTATATTTATAATCAAGTGGTGTACAATATCTGCTTTGATGTACATTATTTCCTTTGATGCAATCTGTGGTGTGGTGTTCCAGAGACCACATTCAGTGTTTTCTTAGCAGTATCCAGTTGAGCCAATTATTCTATTATCAGGGGTCCAGATTAAGATTGTTTGATCAAAATCTATGAAAATATGTTACTTTATAATATTTGAGTAATCAATTTAACAAAAAGGCATATGGGAATTTTTTTATTAATTTTTTAAATAACTTTTGTTGTTGAAATGTGATATATCTTTTAAATATTTTTTTTCTTTCAGAAATCTTTTATAACATTAAAATTTCTTTCATGATAAAAATAAACAAAAAGGAAAGCTTCACTAAAAAGTTTATTTCAGGGTGATATTTCAAGGAATAAAGAAATTACACTAGTTTGAAATTTTCATTACATGTAATATGACCTGATGATACATATGCATTTTGGTACCTCAGGTGAACAGGCCAAATACCTGTGAATTTTGTCTAATTAGTGTTTGAGTTATATTTTACTTATTACAGATAAGATAAGCTAATTTTTAAGATAAGTTTTGAAAGTGAGATTTCTATTTAAGTATTTTTAAAGGAATTTTATTTCTTTTCAGTGTTGTTAATTTAACTAAAAGTACAAGAATTTTTGTAAAAAAATTATTTCAATTGAAAAAACATAATTTTTGATAAATTTTCTTTCAGATTCTAAAAATTTAACCATTTAGCTACTATAGACATTTTACTTTTTTAAGATATCATGTTTAACAAGAAAGTTATGAAACTTTAACTTTTCCTAGTAGTTACATGTTTTAAAAATTTCATGCCAGAAAATTCCTAGAATTATTAACATTAGGGTAGTGTTATTAAAACTATCCGGACTGCCATTAAACTTGTCGGATTGATTTGAAATTTGGTATGCTGGTTCGATATAGAATAAGCTTAATGCATGATATTTTTTGGGGCATTTTATTGAAGAATAAGGGTCTAATAGGCCCAAGACCACAATTAATGACCCTACTTTTCGTTGTCCACGAATATAGTTCCCTTTAATTAAAGTGTATTTTTTCTTTATTTTTTTTCTTTGCCTTTCTCATTCATTTCTTAGTTTTTATGGGGTGGAAATGAAAGAAGAGAGGTGAAATAAATTTTTGGATGTTGTATTTTAACTGATTTTGATATGGAAAGAGTGATTAGGCTAAGTGCAAAAAGGTAATATTTACAGTTTTCGGAACATCTCTTGACTTGTCCATAGGGGTATGGATGTGTATTGGCTAAATTTGTAAGATCTTGGGGAGCGATTTTTCTGAATTTTGGATATGTTTTTGGACTAGTACTATACATTACACACACAAAAGATTAGACAAAAAGAACCGGGGCAATTTTTTTAATGAGACAAAAAGTTATAAAGAACTAATAGAGGAATTAATTGTGGTCTGTGGCCTACGGCATGTACGCTCTCGATTAACTAGATACCGGAAATGAAAGAAAGTAATTTTTCAAAAGTTGTAAAAATATACGACCTAACCTCTTTTCTAAAGAGATAAATCGTTTGTATCTTTGATTTTGGATTATGCAAACGTAGATTTCGAATTTTTTCGATTTTCTGATTAAATTTTCTCCATGTTGAAATTTGCGATTGGACCACGTGGTATTAGTCATGTCACAAGTGTCAGCTTGGGGTATTCGTATCCATTCAGTTATCACCCAAAGGGCAATTAACACCTATTTAATCACTCTTAATTGCTTCTATTGTCGGACTTGAAGGGATTACAATTAAAGGTGATATAATTTTTATGATCACAAGCGGTAACTAGATGAAAGTTCAAAATTTAGGACATGGTTTTGCGATATAGAGACGATATAGAGACTAGAAAAATAGCATCCTCAAAATAATTATAGCGTCGCGGAAATTATTATAGCATCACGGGAAAAAAATATAGCGTCTCGGTGCCGCGACGCTAAAACGGCCTGGGGAGAACACTGGAAGAATAAGATGGTATTTTTCCCTCTAAAGAGGTTATTGATCCCCATCAGGTTATGATAACCTTCATTTTTGTGAACATGGTGAACTACACACTTTGACATCACCTGGAATAATTAAGGTCACCGACCATTATATACAATGTATAATTATGAATAAATGGTAATTATAAATTGTTCACAAGATATACATTGTATTTAAGACTTTTTTGTTATTCAGGATTCTTTTTTCAAGTGTAGAAGAAGAAATCATGTCATATGAAAGACTTTTATGAATGCAAGGTCATGGCAAACAGTTCTTATTATATAAAGAATGTATACATGCCAAGAGCACTGATAAACATTTCCACAAGACTGAATGTTTTTGTTTGTTAAACAACATAATTTTGATCTACATATTCATTATTAGCAATATTTATTATAACTATGCAAATTTACATTAATTATTAGAGTATTTGTGTAAATTTACTGAAAACATTTTCTTTCATATCTATATTTTTAAGCTCACAACTGTATTTCAAATTCTACCCTGTTTAAAAAGTTAATTATAATCTGTTTTGGGAAAAAAAAATATTACAGCTAAAATTTTAATTAACTTTCCAATGTACATAAGGTATTTATAGGTCAGCAGGGTTAACATGCTGCAACCTTTACCCCCTCTCATCTGCATGATCTGTGCTTTATAGCATTCTGGTAATGGCCATGAGTCATGACCTGTGCCAAGGATCAACAAAAATTTTACACTGCAATGATATTGTTTTATGCAAATTTTAACATACCTTCCAGCCAGAAGAGAGGTGACATCAATGGGAAATGATGCCATTCTTAATTGAATGATGGGAAATCTTCTCATCTGATCTATCTCCAATTTTTCAAACATGATTAAATTTTTAAAATGACAACAAATAATTCCCAATTAATGACAGGCTAATGGTTGCTCACAAGCTTGTGAAATTTTGTTTTAAAAACACTTTGGTTCACAAATTCCTATTTTTACTTAAATTGACTAATCTGTAATTTTTTTCAATTTTAATCTTTAGCCTATGACATGTACAAATGTATTATCATCACACAAGCTTAAAAATAAAAGAGAACTACTGATATATTTATTTTCAAAAATTGTTCTAAACCAGTTTTGACTGGTTTAAAATACCAACGATTGAGCCAAAACTGCTTTTTTCCAACAACTAATTAAAGATCTTGAAAATGACTTTATACAATGAACATTGTCTTTTGGTCATGTGGTACCGGTGAGTCCAAAAGTATGAAAGAAAATAAACAGCAATGCGTTTACTTATTGTCTTGGTCTTCATCATGACAAAATAGAATGTATAAAGAAAAATATAAACAAAATAAAATAAATTTCAAACTTTGACTATTTAAGGAATGACTGTAAATGTAATATTTTTCTGTCTATGAAGATATAACCTCAAAAATGTGGTGCACACTGAATAACCTGCATAGCGGTTATTTAAAAGTGTGCACCACATTTTTGAGGTTATTTTGAAAAGACAATAAAAGTATTACAGCCACTCCTTATAATTTAATTCAAAATTCCTTTTTAAGGAGTAAATCATGAAAAACGTTCATGACTGCCAAAATTATGTCTATGAGCAGACAGACAAAAAACTTTAAGCCAATCAGAAGGCGTGTTACATCCAAATTAAATTATCAAATGATGAGAACTGAACTTATCTAATGTAGACTTGATGCATCTTCAGACTCACCAGTTCAGAAAATGAGTCCAGAGCAATTTTTTTTAAGTCATGGACTCATTGAATTGACATCTAAGTAAAAACCCTGCAAGGAAGACTTGAGAAGACTGACTCAGCAACTATAGTGCCCCCCTCCCCCTTCATGCCCTTTCCCTTCCCCATCGTGGTACATGAAGTAATAATTGACATCAATTATCTCAGGTTGAATAAAAATTATGCCATCAATAATCACGATAATATATTAAGTACAGAAAAATGGAGCAAATAATTATGTGCATAACAAAAACTAATACTTGAAATATTTATTTATTAAAAATAATCTTCAGAGGAATCAGACAAAATAGGGATGGCTTTTAATACATTTTGTAAATGTAACATACCTTCCAGCAAGCAGATGCACAGCGCCAATTGAAAAAGACATCATTCTTAATCGAATGATAGAAACAATTCTAATTTGATCTATCTCCAATTCCAAACATTATATATACACTTATGTATTGTCAAAATTAAAAAAATATTCCATTACATAGTCATACACGTAAGCCTGATTAACATGATTAATCACAGGTGATTATTTGCTCAATGACCATTTAAATCTAGTTATATTTGTAATGGACTTTAAACTTGTAATTAATTCTGACTTTTCAATTTAAAATAATTCCAACAATCACTGACAATAGAATTAAAATGTATCCAAATTTTTTTTTTCTTCATATGATCATTGCACAAACTATGAAAATGAAAACAAATAACATTAAAGTCTATAGCTAATTGACATGGTGTAGTTCTTATAAAAATATAAGTTCTAACCAGTATTGACTAGTTTATGCTAATAAGATGGTCTATTTATAGATTGTCAATATGACCTATATGTCTTATTTTTTATAACTTACTTTGTTTACAAATCTATTAATGTTACAAGGTCAAGGAATGTATACTAAATTTTCAAATTATTCACTGCAATATCATGAATATAGACATCAAGCTTAATTCCGTGTTAATTTTCATAAAGAGGCCCAATGAATAAATTCTAACTTTTATCCCCTAAAGATTGAAAAATTTTACATTATTCTATAGAAACCCCATTCTTCCAAAATTCATGACCATCAATGCCCCATTGTTAAAATATTACTCAGGAAAAATAATTCAAGTTCATGATTGATTGATTGATGTTTGTTTAATGTCCAGTGGCAATAGGGCAAATAAAGTTCAAACATGTATACATGTACGTAAAGAAATGTGTTAAAGGTCAGTTGTTGACCACTATATGATCAAATAAACAAACATGAGTCCAACAGTACTTATTTATTTGAACAAAATAGTAGGCTTATAGTCAATACAGGTGACCATTGAAAACTACTTATCAAAATGATCAGATAATAAGTTATAATACCTAGTGATGTACTTTGTTTTTTGATTAATCACTATTGTACACAATGTAGTATAGATTAAAATTTAAAGACTTTTGATTAATTTAAAGTTTTGATAAAAATAGGCAATGAAATTAATATATATTTGTACATACATGTATATATAATGAGTTTTGTTAAAATATACTTTTTCACTTTTTTGTTCTTTTGGAAAATGTTGTTTGTATGTTTGTGCTGTATTTAGACCCCTCTACCAAGAAATTTGTTTTGCATGTACACGTATAAAAGTTGCGGTTTTTATGCAATGCAATTATAGGTTTGAACGTTGTTTTCAATTTAGACTTGTGTGTATATATATATATATATACATAAATATTAAGGAGTTGTGGTATGATTGCCAATGAGACAAATGTCCACCAGAGTTAAAATAAGTGGATATAAGTAATTATTTATCATTAAAAGGTAGATTAAATATTCATGTACTTTATGTACATGTACCATAGATACTAGAGAGTGTTTTAGCTAGCCAAAAATTGAGGGCACATCTCACCTATGCCCTGTCACTGTGGCATGCATCTTTTTTCTGAAGAAAAAATCAAAAGTTGGCAAAAAACTGGTCAGTACTAGCAGGCCTGCGGTAAATACTAGAAATATTGGCAAATACTGGTCAGTTATATTTTTTTACCGAAACATCTTTAAAAATAGTCGCCCAGACCCACCATAATTTTTTTCCCCAAAATTAAAAGGGAAAAGATGCATGTTCCATGGTCTATTATTAGAGAATTTCAAACTTAAAAACATTTCAATTTTAAACTTTTACTCTCCACACATCTGTATTCAAAGGGTTTTGTCCTGGTGAGAGCCTCCTCCATCATTAACTTTTCTTCCATGGAGATCCCTGTATTGCCCTGCACTATGTCTATGAATTTTTTGTTGCTAAAGAAAAATTAAGGTTGGTAAAAACCGGTCAATACTAGCCTATCAGAGTTGTGTGTATCACATGAATTTTCAATCTGGTTAGTCACATACATGTAAGAATATCAACTGTTTATCCTTCTAATATGGCAATCAAGGGAAATAACACTGTTGTTTTGGTTCATCTTCAACAATTTTATTTTTTCATTTGAACGCAAGTTCAAACTTTTTTTAAAATATGTTAATATGGGGATGAAGTCCCCAATTACAATAGAAAAATCAATAAAAAAAATAATCAATCCACTAATGAACTCAAAATCGTTCACTTTTTTTTTCTAACTTTTTGTATTTTCCCACATCTGCGCAGAAATCTTTTCCAGTATCGTTTATCTCGGGATTTGAGTACAATTTTATGGGGACGTGCCTTATAGCGTTTCTTTGTTTACATTGAAATTGACGTCACAACTAAAATCCCTAACAACAGGACCAACATCGGAAACGTTTCCATATTTCAGTTTCTTTCTAAACAGATTAATTTATGAGTTAAAAATAGGCTTGAATTAAAAAAAAAATTTGTAAGGGTTCCGCGGAACCCAGTGTCTCGCCTACTTTTGCTGTTAGTCGCAGGCTCAACAAAAATGGGGAAATAATTATTAAAAATTTTCCTCTAGATACTATCTTTTGAATGTAAGAAGCTTCTGTTCAAGTTTGGTAAGAATCCAGGATGGTTTATGAATCTAATAAATGATTTAAAAACTTTAACTACAGACTGTATGTAATGTTAACTGGAAGAAAAACTAAGTCCATTCATAAGTAAAATACGGATAAACAGAATTTTTTTTTTGAACAAAATTTACTTTTGAATACTATATATATATAGCTATCTTATGATCATAAACAAGCTTCTGTCCAAGTATGGTACAAATCCAGGATAGTTTAAGAAAGTTATTAAAATTTGAAAAATTTTAACCACAGAGTGAATGTAATTTTAACAGGCAGAAAAACTAAGTCCATTTTAGGCATTTATGAGTAAAATACGGATAAACAGGATTTTTTTTTTACAAAATTTACTTCTGGATACTATCATAGGCGGATCCAGGGGGAGGGCCCCCTTTTCGTGGGAAAAATTTGGTTGATTATATAGGGAATCACTGAAGCGTGACTGGAGCGGCCCCCCCTTACTAAAAGTTCTGGATCCCCCACTGACTATCTTATGATCATAAACAAGCTTCTGTTCAAGTTTGGTAGAAATTTAGGATAGTTTAAGGTTCATCATAACAAATGGACAAATATGGCCGTATTTTCACCCCAAAAACTACTCTGTGTACAGACTTACCTGTACAGTTTGAAAAGTTTTAAGGCCTGGCATCCACTAGATATATAAAATTTAAATGCATTTTGTGTTTCAGAAAGATGTAATCGTTTTTGGATTTTGATGGGCATTTTTTTTCCTTCCTGCAGAAGGTGTAAAAATAAACAAACACCTGAATTGCATTCAGTGATCGGGAAGGACGTGCGCCTTGCGCCAATTGCGCTTATCGACCAGAAATGGCGCATAGAGTGACAAATTTAAGCGCCCGCGTGGCGCATGATATTTTTCACTTCGTTTTGAAACGTTGCGATGGATTTCCGATCGTATTTCGTGCCGCCATGTGTGAGTACACAACTGTGTAGTGTTTACTCCAATGATAGGAGCACCTATATATTTTTGGGACGTCTCGGGTGTTTTCCTATGGTAATAATAGCAACATGCGGTATGACTGATTACCCAAAAAACGTAATTAACCATCATTCATGATATAATTTTTTATAAACAACTTTAAATTTGTGAAATTGGCTAGTACAGGCGAGAATTCTTTTCTAATTATAATCTATTAACGTTGCTCTCTACTGTTATTCTTGTCATCGTGATGAAGTAATAATAATACAAGTGCAGAGGAAATGCCAGAAACGTCCTCTAATACGGAACGTCTGGAATAAGTATGGTATTGATGAAGACCCAAATTTAATGTAAAAAAAAACATGAACTTGAACAAGGGAACAGTACCAGTTTTAACATTGTAAATAAAGGTTATCGTAAATATTGACCGGTTTGGAAGAAGTTATTGTATATTCATTGAAATTGAAATTACAAAATCACAGGAACAATATCCATGATATTAATTAGAATCATACTTGTAAGTACAGTGAAATATACACTTTTTTATTTATTTTTTTTTATTGTAAACGAATGGCCCACTCATTTGACAACATGGCCCATTAATTCTAAAAATGGCCCATTGAATTTATTTTTGGGGGGCCCTGGGCCCATAGAGAAAAAATCCTTCCAGATCACTGTGCATTTGATACTGTCCACTCAGTTACTACCTTTAACTCATCTATAGATGTGTAAATATCTATTGTCTGTCTATTGTCTATGCCAATCAAGGACAATCAATGCAATACAAACCAGTTGTTACCCGAGAGGGAGCATCTCAAAGTTGTATCCCAACTTAGTTTATTTTTACACCTTCTGCAGGAACGAAAAAAAATGCCCATTAAAATCCAAAAAGATTTTATCTTTCTGATTTGCAAAATACATTTAACTTTTATATATCTAGTGGATGCCAGGCCTTAAAACTTTTCAAACTAAACAGGTAAGTCTGTACACAGAGTAGTTTTTCAGGTGAAAATACGGCCGTATTTGTCCATTTGTTATGATGAACCTTAAGAAAGTTATTAAAATTTGAAAAAACTTTAACAACAGAGTGAATATTTGTGGATGCCGCCAACTATCACGCCAACGACGACGACAGAATGTAGGATTGCTATGTCTCGCTTTTGCGACAAAAGTCACAGGCTCGACAATAATTTAAACAGACTTTGTCCCCTTTCACAGGTAAGTAACACCTGCCTCATATTAGCAAAAAACATTGTTAGGGAATGACTTTTTGATATTTGTAAGGGGGGGGGGGGGGGGGCGTCACATAGATAATTTTTTTATTGCCACTTTTGTAAACATTTGTTATCTTCATTGTGTACTGCAGACTTGAAAATATTGATTTACATCCTTTCTTGTGCAAAATTTATTGGTTATCAGTTCTTACCAGGCGGCCAAGTTTTTATTTTTGAAAATTCCCCCCCCCCCCCCCCCCCCCCCCCCAAACCAAAAAAAAAATCAAATGGTCGCCCCTTATACTCTACAAAGGGAGTTGTAATGATAAACATTCTTGTGTTTTCTACGTAAAAAAAAAAGATGTAAAGCATTAGAAATGACTATATAAACAAAAACAAGGTTTTCAATTTGTAAACAACATTCGGGTTAGAGGTGTTTCTTAACATTTTGAACGATGAATGCAATAAATGGTACTTTTTTCTTGGTGAATTTAAATATTCACTTATTCTTACCCTCCTGCCAATAAATGCACTCCAATGTGGTTTGTTCCAGACATTATTTTTCTCGTATTTACAGTTTACATCCCAAAACACGCTGATACTATTGACGATTGTTTGAAAATTTTCCTAGGCTATTTGGAACTCCTCCAGAGTTTTCAGTAAGCTCCTAATCACCAGAAGAAAAGTAGACTGCAATGTACCAATTTGATAAATGAAATATAATTGTTTTATTCCTTTTCATATAAATTCTTGCATCAAAAAATAGATTGTAAAGTTATGTATTATTCTACATAGATATTATACCTTAATAAACTTGAATTGTATATTTTGAACCGATGTTATTTTGATCCGTTGCATTGGTATTTAGTTATATTCCGATGAATAAAGTCTTTATTTATTTTCCGTTCACGTCGTCTATGCGTGAACAACGACCGGCCTTCATTAAAAATCGGTTAATAGGTTACAAGAGAATGGACTTGAATGGAGAATTTTCGACGCATAAAATAAATTATACATAATAAACATGAAAACTATTATGTGTTTTTTGGGGATATTTTTGTACGAAAATGCATCAGGTACATATTTAAATATTTTTATCAAAGCATGAACACGGTCGCTTTAACCCCCCTTTTTTGTGTTTATTTTTAAGTGTATATTATTTTCAGTTATTTAATGTGTGCATGCTCTTATCAATACGATGTATCTTATATTATTTTGCTGCCTCTCTCACGATATTTTTTTCTCTCAAAATATACGATATTATAAAATCAGATGGATTAAAATCAGTCCATCATAAAAAAGGGAATATATGCTTATAATTTATTGGGAAGAAGGGGGAGGGACAGGGGCTATTTTGAAAATGAATATCCTGGCATTTTAAGAACGAAATAGATCAAGCATGCCAAAAGACGAAAATGAATATTCTGAAGAAAAAAAACAACTTCAGGGGGAGGGAAAAAAAGGGGGGTCCTCAACATACAAATTTGGATACAGACATCCGGCTGGGGTTTGAAAAACACCCCCATTCAAATCTTGATTTTTGCGATATAGTTCATACAAAAAATGTAACTCATCAAGTCATATATTTCTGGCCTAGCTATCAAACAAGAAACGCCCATTTTCGCTGAACTCGTATATATACATTATTGTTAAGGGGCCAGCCGAAGCCCGTCTGTGGGAGCGGGATTTTCTCGCTGTGTTGAAGACCCATTGGTTGCCTTGGGATGTTTTCTACTCTTTGATCGGGTTCTTGTCTCTTTGACACATTCCCCGTTTCCCTGGGCGTTTCCATTCTCAATATTTTATGCAATATGTGATATCTTAATATTAATATGTTTACCACAGTTATCGCTACACATTTCTTACAGACATCTTAATAGAAAATGAGCATTTATGACCCATTGGCAAATGAAGTTCGACCCATTGATATTGCCTCCGGATGAAATTAAAAAAAAAAAACGGTAGGACAGGAGTTTTGAGTAAAAAAAAAAGCAGGATGAGCAACTTCGAAAAAAAAGGCAGGATGACAAATTATGTAAAAAAAACTGAGGATAAACTAATAAAAAAAAGGCAGGACCGAATAGAGTGAAAAATAAAAAGGCAGGACAGAGATTACAGCTAAAAAAAAAAATGAAAGACAAAATTTTTCGTCCTAGCCCCAGTCAGTTTTTGGGGAGAAAAAGGGGGCGTTTTTTGTCAGGACTAACAATAATTTTCAATTAAAAACATGTCACCGAGTTGCTTGTATGTTTTATGAAGCAATGAAGCAAGAAAAGGCAATTGGACGCATATATATCAGTTACCGCGTAAACTAAGAAGGATAACTCTGAAATAAAAGAAGTTTCATTTTACAGAAACATCTAGAAATATAAAAAATAAGTCGATGTGGTGTGACTACCAATGAGAAAGCTCTTCACCGAGACCAAATGACGTAAAAGTTCATAACTATAGGTGACCAACAAACGACAAGAACTTAATTACAGGCTCCTGACTTGGAACAGACACATACAGAATGTGTCGGGATTAAAGATGTTTGTTTGCGCTAATCCCGACCCCTAACCTGGGGCAGTGGTGAAACAGACAACATAAGAACAAACTATAAACATCAATTTAAAAGAGCTTAACTCATCAGATCTATACAAAGTAAGTAAGTAAGTAAGTAAGTAAATTTTATTTAGAGTCGGGCATGATATGTACAATTCAACAAGGTAAACATGAGCTCTATAGAGCTCTTAACCGACTTGATATTTAAAAACAAATAACAAATTATAAGGACATTTGACAAACCACACAAATAAAAACACATGCATAAAATGATAGCTAAACAAACATGCATAAATCAAAGCAAGCAAGCTAAAAAGAAAAGAAAAGCAAATTTTGCTATAACTGTCATAAAATAAGCAAATAAATAAAACAAAAGCAAACAATAAACAATAAACAGAACACAGGGCCAGAAGATTTCAGCTGTGAGACAGCAAAGTTATTGTCTACATGAGCTACAGAAGCAGTTTTCTGAAAAACACCATGCTGAAATAAAATGTTTGAACTGTTCCAAAGTTGAGAGGCTCCTTGCATGGTTAGGCAGGGAGTTCCACAACTTTGCTGCCTCAAAGCTAAAACTCCTTTTGCATTACCTTGTAGTTCTAGGTTGTGGCAATTCAACTGTGAGTTTATATCTAAAATTATATGAGTTTTCTTTAAAATTTAATATATTGTGTAAGAACTCTGGACTGGATTTTGTCAAAGTTTTGTAGGTTTCTAATGCCATGGTTCTCATGCGTCTGATTTTAAGTATTGGTAGTTTAGATTGTTCAAGTAATTGTTCATATGAGTTATTGTAGTCATTGTAGATGAATCTGAGCGCTCGTTCTTGCAGTTTTTTTAAATTTTTTGGTGTTGCGCTCGCTACAAAAATGCCATGTGAGTGGACAGTAAATTAGGTTTGACATGATGAAAGAATGGTAAATTGTCATTTTTGCCAGTTTGTTCAAGTGCGATCCAATTCTTTTCAGAACGTTTAACTGTCTGGTTGCTTTTTTGCAGATGTTAGATATGTGTTGGTAAAAGTCGAGCTTAAAATCAATGGTTACTCCAAGTAGTTTTACTTCATCTTCGCATTTGATGTTGTTTCCATTTAAGTTGAAGACTATGTTGTTTTTATGTGCTTTGCTGCCAATCGCTATGGCTTGAAATTTTTCTGGGTTAGCCTGCATTTTATTTTGTGAGAACTATGAAATTAGTGAACCACTGTCTTACTTCAAGGATTTAATAACTAATGCCAAAGAAGAACCAGATTTTGAAAGGGTATTGTCATCTGCATAATTATACAAGTCACAGTTATTTACAAAGAGAAAAATATCGTTTTTAAAAATATTAAATAAAACTGGGCCTAGTATAGAGCCCTGTGGTACACCTTTATAAATGTCAAAGCACAAAAAAACTAACAAAAACACAAAAGACACAAAGTACAGATCCGAGAGTACTCGCAGTTACTGAAAGCCATGCAGTCAAATCCCATAACAACTAATAGATAATCATGTATCTTAGACTAAAACGTCAATCAGTACGCATCTAAGATCCAATACATTTAGTTGTAAGATAGATAATTTTACCATGATCGTATCTAAATTTACGGGCTCGGTAAACAACATCACAGTAAAAATTAGGATGTGCTATCCCGTTTGTAATAATTTTCTACAAGTACCGCCAAACTCCCAAACCAAATCTTTGTATTTATGAAAGAATTTAGTAAAGGTTTTAAGTAATTTGTGGTAACGAAATCATTGACTCTATAATTTACCAATAACACATAGATTACATTCATTGGAATCCAAAACGTCACTACCGACACGGGTATAATGAACTCGTTGGGGTATATAAACATCGTATACTAAGATGGTGCCAAATGAATGTGACCATCTAAAAATTGAAAATGAACAACAGGGAACGAAAAATCGTCCCTTTTGTCGTAATTTTTCTTGTAGAATGTCCCTTGTAAAACTGAAATATCTAAATCTAGGAAAGATCAGTTATTGCTGGTTATATTTGATTTATTTAAAATAAGTTCGTTTGGGTAAATTTTGGCAGTTTATTTAAAGAATTCTTGATTATTTATCCCAAAAATATCATCAAGACAACGGTAAGAGTTGTTGAAGTTATCAATTAAAGTGAATTTAGACGGGTCTTTACTAGTTATAATGAAGTAATTATTTACGTAGGCGACAATGGTAATTTTTTGTGTTCTGCGTTTTCACTATAAAAAATCCGTTGAAAAAAACTGTCAATTTCTGAATTTTCACACCTTTGGGTGTGAATAAAACTTCAAAACACATGTGGTGGTGCAGCTCTTTTGATTGAAAATGGATTTGAAGGGTTCTCTGTGGTTCCGGAATTTTTGAATTAGTATGAAATAAGAACACCCTTTGCTTGATTTTGCACAGAAAATTTTGCTCATCAGGAAGAGTCCGCAAAATGTATCACTATTTCTAAACCAATAGCCGACATTCATTCCTCACTATTTCAATTGTCTTTTCTAATTAACAAGGCAACAGAAAATATTTCTAGCAATTATCTTGGATATAAAAACTAGATGGCGACCGTCTTTTCTTTTTACTTTCAATTAACCTACTGAGTTTGGCCATAAACTATGATTCAATATAGTACAGAAACAGTCTGCTATTAAACGGGGGCACAATTGATGCATGTATGAAAACCTACAACCTTTCTTGCTACATGTGAAACATCAACAAAAAAACATGTCTATTTTTGTGTATAACATACTTTTAGTTATCCTCGAGAGTTTACCGATCGTGATTGATTCATACTTTATTCGGTAATTTAACAGAATAACTATAACTAGAACACTGAATTTGTTAGGATATTTCAAATGGGGTTATCCCTCTTTGTACTGCTTCTCCAATCATATTCACTTTTCAATTTTTGTTCTTACTCATTTTTTAATTATCAATAAGCATTATGTATTTTAGATTATAACTGATATATGTTTTTTTATGCCCCGCAACTGAAAGAAGGGGGGGGGGGGGGCATATTGTTTAACCCCTGTCCGTCCGTCCGCCTTCCGTCTGTCCGCCTTCCGTCTGTCCTTCCATCCGTCCTTCCGTCGGACCATTATGAGTATATATAGTTATTCCAGATAACTCCTCCTACATGTAGTTTGA